TTTTTTTTTTTATCAGCTTTCTCAGGTTGAAAGGATGAAATTACTTTTTAAAAGCTAGTAAAAATGAAGGATAAAGATTTAAGCAAATTTTAAAGACTTTACATTTCAGTTGGCCGTCTGATTGCAAGGGTTTGACCTTGTCTCTTTCAAATGAGATTCATTTGGACAAATGATTTATAATTAACAAAGATTCTTTAATTAGAGAGTTCCTATTTAGAACATGTTCATTTTGTTTCTATTAAGGATATTTATCTGAAAGTTTTAGGGGACAATAAAATTAACTTTTGTTGAGCTCCCACTATGTGCCACACACTCTACAGACATCTCATTTATACATTATTGCAAGGCAATATGGTGTACTAGGAAAAGCATAGGCACTGTAGTCAAAATTGAAAATCAGATTCTGGATGTACCATACAATAGCTTTGTGTCCTCGGTCAGGTTATTTAACTTTACTGAGTCCCAGAGTCCCCATCTATAAGATGGAGATCATATTTACATTGCTGTGATTATTAAGGATAATATATGTAAACTACCTAGCAGATAATAGTCAGTGAATGTTATAGTTAGTCACCTATGCTAACAAGTTGTAAAAAGTTATTGTACAAATCTATCATTATGTACTGTCCATGTGAACACGTGGAATATGTTGGGAATCTAATTAAGACTGTTGTGTTTCAGGGTGCCATCTAGGAAGAAAGCCTTAAATATTGATCACTTAATTATACTACATTCAGAAAATTATTTTGATATTTTAAAAACTTATTGTTATCCAAGATAATGGCTGTAGCAAGTTTGCCATTAAACTAACTAGTCAGCAAAACTAGCATACTACTTGAGCTATGGAATCACATTTCTCCCTTGGACTCCTGGAAAAACTACTTTTAAACATAGGGGGAAAACTACTTTGCATTTCATCCAGGTGTGTTATTGAAAATTTGTTTGCAAAGTGTTGTATTTGCTTTGATTATTGCTGAGAGTAAGGCTTAACACTTCATTTTAATTTCTGGTCAGGAAAGACTTAACTTGGATCATACTGGCAGAGAGGTAGGACAGAGGTTTGAGTGTCGATTAACCTATTATAAATTGCCATGAATTACACCAAGGCCACCAAATGTGTAATAGCCCTTTGCTGTCGTCTTTGTTTTCAAAATTTCTTTTCACGGGGGCCTGTGCTTGAGTTGTTTGTCCTTGAGTTTGTGCTGAGTATCCACCCTCGCCTTTCACAATCCTGTGACCATGAAGATAACATTTGTTTCAAGGAATAAAACTGGTTTAGAACAGTTGCTTTAAAATTTCTATTTAGTATAGAGGGAAATTCCACTATATAAGAGCAATTAATTAGGAAAATGAGGTTGTTTTTATGTATTCCAAAGTTTCACAGAAAGTAGTTGTAGCCTAGCATCAGCTCATGCAGTTTATTTCTGTATTTTATTTTGGTGGCAAAGTACTCAGAAAATTCGGCTTCACACAGATTAAATAATTGCAAATGATAGGTGTTCATTAGCAGTTTGCCTTGCAATCCCTGGATATATTTTTATCAAATTGGTCCAGAAACCTGGAAGGAAATTAGGAGGAAATTTTGGTTTCAAAGTTTAATTACTACTCAGATTGCTTATATTAAATAAATCAGATAAAAATCAGCTAAATCTAAGGCCATCTAAATGTAGGATTGCCACGATGAGACACGTTAAGCATGTTCCTATTGCGCAACTAACTGTTCTGCTTTCACCAGATGGGCCTCAGCGTTGCCTGCTGTCTAATTGAGCACAGCCCCCGGGTTGAAGAGGTGTGTGTACTTGCTTGTACAATTTTCCTTGAGTCAACATGCACAGGCATGAATGCATTGAAAGACCCGTGCAGTGCTACAACCTTCATAATCCGTGACACATTTATAAGAACTTGAAACAAATGCAAAGGGATGGCAGGAGCAGCAGGAGGCCTGTTTTTTAAAAAATGAATGAACCAAACAGTTTATGTTAATAATTTGGAGGTGTCCAATGGGATAGTTACATGTATGAAACAGTTGCTTGTGTGTATTGCAGAAAGACAGTAGAGCTCAGGAATTAAGAGGTTGGGTTCTGTCACTAAGTATTTTTAAAATCTTAGGCCAGTCATTTTACTTCTCTAAGTCTCAAGTTTGTCTTATACAAGATGGACATAATAAGAAACCTGCCTCCTAAGATTCCTGAAATTAAATGAGATAATGCAGATAAAGTATTTTTAGCACAGTGTCTGACATACAGGAAGCTACTATGTTTTAATCACAATTGAAATAATTATAAATGTATTTTAGAAAATGAAAATTGAATCCTGTGTTTATGGAATATAATTGGAAACAAATAGCCTAGAGTGCTTCAAAGTCCATGTTACCTGAATTCCTAATGGGGCCCCTTTCGGAACAGAGTAGATAGATCGAATTCTTTACAAGAAAAACATCTTTTGCCCTTCCTCTGTTTGCCATTCTTTATTCAAATAACTGCTTCTCCCTCCTGCTCCCAATCTTCTTTCCATTTACAAAGGACTTTGGAATAGGATTTTGTAAACCGATTTATCACCACCCAGTCCCAGTCCCTTCTCATCCCTTTTACATTTACTTTTTATTCTGTTTTTTTTTCCCTAGGATGTTGACTTGGGAAAAAAAACAAAAAACATTTTTAGTAAAGAGATTCAAAAGAGGATGAGAAGAGATTGGCTGGTGATGATTTACCAATGTGAAATTCCATACCCAAATCCACTTTCAGATGTATCTTTCTAGATATCACTGTAGTATTTGAGTTGATCACTCCTTTGAAGCTCTCCCAAGTGGTCTCATGCTTCTCTTTTGTTTCATTTCTGCTATTTGATTAATTCGTTCATCTGACACTTCTCTTTTGCATCCCAGACCCCCAAACATTCCCCTTCTAATAAATAGCTACCACATCCTGTTGATTCTATCACTTTAAACATTCTCACATATATCTCCTCCCTGGCTTTCTT